TATATATATATATATATATATATATATATGGACCTAATTAAATGAAAAACTAATTAGTTTATGGTAACTGTGAGATCCAATCTCAACCACAAATCAATAGATAAATTAGAAAAATTCATAATTTTGGTAATTTTGAATTAAAATTTTAATGCAAGGACATCTTAGGCATTTTAAAACTCTCCTCTCTCCTCTCTTCTCTCCCCGTCCTCCGGCCACCGTTTTCCGGTCACTGTCCTTCGATGATATCACAATTCATCATATATGTGTTTGAGTATCACACTAAGGTTGTTTGTGTGGTCGATTGAAGATGTAACACAGTGGTATCACAATACATCTTATATATGCTTGAGTATCACATCGTGTCTTTTGTTTGACAGTTAATATTTTTAGGTATCACAATAATATCACTGGAGGCTGGAGGACGGTGGCCAGAGGATGGAGGACGGAGAGAGAATAGAGGAGAGATGAGAGAAAATACCTAAAATGTCTTTGCATTAAAATTTTAATTCAAAATTACCAAAATTATGAATTTCATAATGTATCTATTGATTTGTGGTTGAGATTGGATCTCACGATTACTACAAACTAGTCAGTTCCTTCTTGAATGTGCCCCTATATATATATATATATATGTGTGTGTGTGTGTGTGTGTGTGTACAGATTTGGGGATCATGTGAGACCAAAAGTTTCTCGTGAGACCCGTAAGATCAATTCTCAACTCTTGGATTTAGATCTACAATATGAACATTCATAATCACAAAATTGCCACGACACTTCTCAATAATCAAAAAATTGTCACCATGCAACTTTAGACCATTAAATCATTAGCTTATAAAGTTGATCAATGAACATAAACTGGTCTTACGGGTTTCACGAAAAACCTTTGGTCTCACGTGAACTCAACCCTATATATACATGTGTATATATGTACATACACATACATACATATATGTACATATATATATATATACAAAATTTCGCAAACATATGCCTATATACATGGTGAATAAAAGAGTTATATAACTACCATTAGTGAAGTAATATATATATATATATATAGATATATATATACACACAATCTTTCGAAACAAAATTATATGCACTGAATCTTTTTGTTTACAAAGAATCAAATTTGTTTGAAATTGGTTTCAATGAATCTGATATGGTAGTTGGATTTTCCATATTTGGTTAATGAAAAACGACATTTGAAGGCTCTAAACGTTGAGTTTTCAACGGTTTCTATTCCACACAACTCTGATTTCTAGTTGTAAGTATATATTATTTGAATCCCATTTTAAAACAAGTAGTATACAAATTTCAAACCAAAAAAAAACATTTATGAAACATAATTTGATGGTGGTTGAGGTACCTTTACTCCTCCATTGGGCACATGTGAAGTGGTCAGGGACGGACCTACACTGGTGTCAACGGTGGCACGTGGCACTGTATTATTTCTCTGTCCAATGGTTAAAAAAATTAGGTTCGTAAAATGTGCAACCGTGTTAATTTGTTGTATGTCACCGTATGTATTTTGAAACTACAATGTGAACAAGTTTTCTTTGTAGAGTTGGTTTGCAATACTTTTATTCCATCCCAGACCCGAGTTTGAATCATGTTAGTGTCATTTTTTTAGTCAAATGGTGCCACAGTTTTAAATTTTATTCTCCTATATTTGTATTTTGTAGTCAAATGGTGCCACCGTTTGGAAAAAATCGGGTTCGTCACTGAAAATGGCATACAAATAAAGATAATAATATTGCTTCAATACTTTATATTGTAAAAAATAATATAAAATGTGACATAAAAAATTAAAGTAAAATTAAAAACCCTAAAATTAGGTTACAAATTGGAAAACGAAAATAAAATTCGATGGTTTTCCAACATGAGTAAGGTAAATGTTAGAGAGGGATCTAGAAATTATAGGGATATTTTTTATATAATTATTATTAGTATATTGGTTAGTTTATTATTTTTCATATGTGAGGTTCTATGTTCAAGTTTTTTATTGCAATTTTTTCAAAAACAGTAACAGGATTAAAACCCAGATCTAGTATGAAAGAAAAATCTTGCAAACCAACTCTACTAAGGGAAACTTGTGTTCTCATTTTTTACACTGTGGATAGAGAAATGAAACAGTGGCCCATACCATCACATGCACCACCAGAATCCGTTCCGATTAAATACACTCTTATATATTAATTATCTCCTTAAATACCAAGATATATCAATATACTATAGTTTATATTACGACTGACTATAATTGACAGATATATGTGCGGTTTTATAAATACCTTTAATTATTATTTATTTCCTTTTCTTTTTCCACATCTAAGAGGAAAGTTTTAGAAAGAAAAAATCAATATGTCAGTTGAACTGTTGAATTAAAAGTAAAGGTGAGTGACAATATCTATCAGAAAAAGTAAATTGATAAACTCGGTCCGTTGATAATATAGCTTTAAAGTACTTATGCCGGTTTTGGATCTTTTTTTATAATTCTTTTAGTTACGTTAATTAGTACAATTGATATAGCTCGTCAATAATAATTCTTTTAGTTAGGAATTACTTTTTATTACTTTTTTTTATTCAATTTCATAAATGATTTGTCTAACATAAAATCTATATTTTGATATACCAACTATAAATTAACTAAATAAAATATTTTAGCTTGGTTTATAAAATGTAATAACGAAATGTTGTATTTAAAAATATATCGATATTATATCAAATTAACTTTTTTAAAAAGTCTCGTTTTTTATGTAATTTTTTTAATTCAAAAATTATATCATAATTTAATTTAGGTTTAATAAAAAAAAATTATTTTTGGTTTAATAATATAATTTTTATAAGGATAATAATTAAGTATTCTGTTATAAGTATAACTCAATGATTATCCTAATTATATTTTAAATTTTTTTATATTTAAAATGAGGTGTTTATCATGTAGTTGATTATGTTTATCTATAGTTAGTTACACGAATTCAAACATAAAACTTTAATAAACATACATT